TTATTTATACGTATATAATTTCACTTTTAAAATTACTTTAGCCACGTATGTGTTTTACGCAATGTCTATAAAACCTAATACACATGGGATTATATCGATCGGTTATTTTTAGCAAATAATTTTCTGTTTAAATTAAAATGTTATCTTTCTGTATTCAACGAAAACGATACTAATAATAATAAACTTTGTTAAATTTATTATTACATAACTTCTGCAACAACTTAAACAACTTTCCATTATTTCCGAGTAAGAGTTTCAACTTTGTAAGAAAATTAAAGTTATTTTATAATTTAATACTGACTTTTAAAATGAATTATTAACTGATGACTAAAAGCTTGCATTAATGCTATATAAAAGTGTTCTATATTAATTGAATTGTCGGGATGATATATATTAAATAGGATCGTACTTTCGTCATTTATGTTAAAAATAATTTCTTTATAAAGATCTTATCTATAAACAACAGTTATGAAAAAAAGTAGTGAAAGTAATGAAAAAAAATTTTTTTAATTAACGGTAATAGTTTTGTTGTAGTTAAATTGTATGTTATGGTAATTCGCAATTCTTAATCATTACAATATAAATATTAAAATTTATTGTAATAAATATTTTTATACTTAAATGCTATTTTAAAGTATATTTGTATTTCATTAAATAATCACTAATGGAAATTTGAAACTTATGAACTAAGCCCATTAACATTATATCTTAATTTAATTTAATTGTTGCGTTACGTAATTAAAAATAAACTTTCAGTTGTAGTTAATTTTCAGCTTATGAAGACAAATCACATAAATTACTGTTTAATTAATTTTTTCGAATAATACAATTTGTTTTTGTTTTTTGTTTTTTTTTGTTTTTTTTTTTGTTTTCTTGTTTTTGTTTTTATTTTCTCCTAAACATATAGTTTGATCAATTTTATTATCTTGTTTGGAGGAAAATTCATCAAGTCTTATAAACGCGTGTTTTTGGCATCGTTGTCAATTTAAATTTGATGTATCCAATTCGGATAATAATATTCATATAATAAAATCTGAATTTATGAGGATTTTATTTTAGACAGTCAATTGATAAATATGGTATTACAGCTCGAATATATCAAGTAATTTATTTCGCAGATATTGTAAGTATTATTGAATTATTAAATTACTTTCTTGCAATATTTATAACGAAGATAAATTTTAATGGCATAACACCAAAGCATAATTTCATATTGTGAGTGTATTTCTTTCTCTACTAAATTAAACGTAGTTACTTTAATCTTCTTTTTAACATAATCCTAGATATCGCTTTCATAAGAAAAAAAAAATATATATAATGTGTAAATTCCAAACTCTTTATCTTTAATAATAATATTTGCAAAACTGCACGCAATAATTTGCAAATTGTTTATTATAATGCTTTTTAAATCTAAAATTATTAATTGATAAAGTAATAACGCGGAAAGTAGATTTATTCATTAAGGATGTTAATGAGAAGCAGATGAAAGATAGAATATTTTTTTAAAATATCAATGACCCAAATAAAGAGACGCAGTCATAATTGGTTTTTTTCATGAGAGCTGAAGTCCCAAGGGGCGATGGAGCTAAGTAAAATCGACAGTTGTCCTCGTTTACCTCAGACATTACCGTAACATCGAGCAAACCAATATCTTCCATTGCTTATTGCAATTCTCTGATCATTCCATTTCAAACTCTCATAGTCCATGCTCTATTATTCCACGTCATTTATCAGTTTTACCACTTATTCGAAAAATCATACATTTCTCTATCTTTGTTGAAAATGTCAATCAAACGTTGCATCGCTTTTCTGCTGTACCGTATATCATAGAGGTTGTCTGCTATTTTTATGTCAAATGGTGAATTTGTTTTTTACTTTATTGAGCGATTGGAAAATGTGCTTTACCTGAAGCTCTACACCAGTGAATTTTTGCTTTTAATTATTATCGATTAATTAATTTTGCGACAGTAGCAGTTTAAAAATGATATCTTTATTTATCATGCAATTCGTCGATGAGAGAAAGATAGGAACTTAGCAATTCTACATATATTTGACACTTTAACGACTGTTTAATTTCAATCAAAGAATTATAGTAAATAAATTCATAATTATCTTTATAAGCGACTTTATTGTTTATAATATAAAATAATATCAAATTGTAATTTATATTTGTCTTCTTATTCTTCTGTATTATAATTGATAAATATTGGTACGTTCGAATAATTAAATTTAGTGATTATTTATATATATATATATATATATAAATATATTACAAATAATGTAAGCTAAATTCATAAATTGCAATTCATTAATATAATCATTATTTCGAAGCTTTGCATAATCTGTATATGAAATTTTTCATTTAATAGGATGTAATGACACAAAGTAAAATTAATTTTAATATGTTTTAAATAAATAAAATTTAATTGTTGAACAAAGTCTTATTTAATTTCTACTTTTATAAAAAAATGAATTTTTTTTTTAAACGAACCAAGATGTTAGATTAGTTTTTATATTAAGATATAATTTATTATTTCATTTGATTTGTAGTGTTGTTAATGTGGGTGTACAAGTGCGTGAATGTGTACTCGTGCAAATAATATCGTTCAATAACTTTTAATAAACATTTGTAATTTTAATTTTTATTAAATAATATTTGTTATAATGATTATACTTTTATGTGCATGTGTTATTATTTATTTATTTATTTATTTATTTTTTTTTTTTTCTGATGAATTATTTACTTTAGTATTATTGACAAGCAAAAAGAATTTTCATAAAAATTCATAAAATGTATAATATATTACATACATCATGCTTTATATTATTTAATATTTTTAATCATTTTAACGATTAAAAATATCTAAAAGAAAAATACCATTCTATACTAAATAATAAATAATTTTGATATGGAATTTTTTATTTCAGATCTATGAAATTTTATATTAATATCGTATGCAGAATAAGCTTTCGAATTATTTGATAAAATAATTTCAATAAAGTGTATATCATTTATTTTACATAAGAGTTTTGAATTCGGTATTCTCGAAGAGTTTTTACAATTTACATTTGTATTGTATAACGTGGAATATTGTTAATATATTAATAAATATTTACACTAAAATATAAAATATATATATATACATATAACGTTAAATATTCTATATTTTTTATCACTATTATTTTTGATTCGGTTAAAAGTTACTATTTATAATATTTAAAATAAATATTGTAACACTCAAAAAAGTAAAAAATATAACTTTTTAAGTTTTTTTTTTTTTCTTTGGCATCTCATTAAAAATTTCTGTTATACATTTCATATTATTATTTTACGTTTAAATGTAGGATGTGTTATTCTAAATCATTAAACAAATTTACAAATTGATATGTAACGTCTGTACTTACATTAATGTAAAATTATAAGGTATTATTGTAATAAAAGTAAATGTCTTAGCAGTGCTAGTTATTCGCTATTATTTTTTTTTTTTTTTGTTTTCCGGATATAATTTGTGAGATTCATATACAAACTTTCATAGTAACTCATAAATTGAGCTAAAAATCAATTTTTAAAATTGAATCATAAATTAACGTTTTCGTTTATTCGACTTTACAGTTATTAATTCAGATTTTACCATATTAAAGCGTATTTAATATATTTTTTAGCATATTTATACATCGTCTATGTATTAGGCTCTTTTTATTATTAATAAAATTATTAATGGAAGGTCATAATTTATTCTAACGTTATTATTCGAGGAAATATTACTGATCCTTTGAACACTTAGTCAGTACAGTTGCATATTAATTTAGTATTTACTATTTAATCAATACTGTTAGTTTTATTTTTTTATAAATATGTATTATATAATTATAAATGTTTATAAAAGATTTTCTAAATTGTACATATAATTATATAAGATATTATAGACGAAAATTCAAAATTATGATTTATTAGGTAGATTATTCTATTGAACCATAGCATTCTAAGGAAATAATTGTCAATCGCTTTAAGCAATCATTTAGCAATATCAAATGTGTAGAGAAATAACGATCTATGATCTATTAGTATTTCGTTAGAATGACAATTTATTCATTATATATTGCTTGAATATTAGAATTCTGAGATTAAATTATAACCTTTAAGCTTTCAAGTGAACTATCATATTAAATAAAATAGAAAATTATAAAAAATAATGAAATTAATTAATGTCTTAGTAACGCTTGAATTTTGTAAAAAATAAAGAAAATATTTAAGTTATTTTCAATTATATTAAAGAAATGCGAGTATATTACAGGCGATAGTAATTTTAAACCATTTTTTTTTTTTTTTTGAAAAATATTACGCTGGTTTATTAGATTGCATTAATGAATATTGTGAATTATTTATAATTTCATGACAACAACTTCATGCATACATCGGGAATTTTAAATTCGACGGCAGTAAAAAGAATAAAAGGAGCTGTCAATATTCAGTCTATTTATTTACATAACACGATGTAGATTTACATAGATCAATGATACTTATGCTCGGAACAAAATTGAAAAATCCACTCATTTCATGGACGTAATAATCAAACAGTCACACTAAGTCCAACAAAGGTTTGCCAATGTAACTGCGCATAAAAACGTCAATATTATTATATAAACATTGTAATCTGCAGTTGATAAAACCATATCAGATTTCCCAAGTGAAAATCAATATACTTTGTATTAAATATCTAAAACAATAACTTTTATACGAAGTCAGTGTAATTAATTAGCAACTTATTTGTGCGATAATTTACTTAAGGAATTTTTTTTAGAATGTTCAAACGTGCAGTATATAGAATAAATTGATATTTATAATTGACTCTATGAACGAAGAACGATAAATTTCACTTCTTAACGCGCTGGGTTTTTATTTATTTATTTTATTATTATTGCTTTTTTTTTTTTTTTTAATGAAAAAAAAGCGATTCAATATTTTAGTAATTTACATTTTGATTTCTTTATGAATGAATCCGCTTATAGATTACGTACACATATCGTGGATCCACATGTGCACAACATATACGTAGGTGCGTGAGCGCGCGCGTGTATTTGCGTATGAATTTGCCACTCGAAAATAAAAAGAGCACAGCTCGAAATATTTTGATTCGCTTGAATTGTTCATCAGTGACATCAAAATCTCGACTTATAGTTAATTGAATCAAGTGGTTGAGCCGGGGCAGGACGAAATTTGAACTTGATTGACTTCAGGTTTTGGTCCAACTTTACTTTGGAGTTTCGAGCGCGCTGAGCTTGCTTTCCACGTGGTCGATAGCGATAATAATAATATTCAAATATGAGCGTAATGCAGGCCAAGCCAATGCCTACAAAAATCACAATGAAAACTCCGCCGATATTTTGTATGCTGATGCCGTCGCTCTGATCATCGGTTTTCTCGCATTTCTTCCTTTCGGGATTCTTATTCCACCATTTGTTTTTTAACTTTTCTAATTTTCGTTTGTTCAGCATTATCAAAATTCTGGAAACAAAAAAAAAAAAAAAAAAAAAATTAAATAAAACAAATAATCGAGGCTACTATTTTGTTTTTCACGATCTTTACCTAAGAATTTTACGACTAAATACTCTTAGATACATAGCAGCGCTATTTCACTTTTATCCATAATAAAATTGAATAAGAATTTCTTTGCGAACTCTATACATTTGTTTTGTTTGTTTACAACAGTTCCATAGTTTTTACCGTATATTTCCTCAAATATATACATTAGCTCATAAAGTACTTGAAATATATATATATATATATATATATATATATATATATATATATAAAAAAAAAAACTCTTGAAATACATTTATCTTAACAATATTAACATATATAGATAAAGATGAAGAGTTGGAATTTATAAAATTGAAAAATCTTCAATATGTTAAATAGAAGCGAGAAGCGATTTACCGCTTAATGGTTGGTAAAGTTGAGCAAGTTAAGTAAGTATCGATATAAAGGTCATCGATTAATTGTCCGGAATGAAAGATTTTAAGGAGAAGTTTTTAAAGCTTTTAAAACATTGTATAGGCTACTTGGCTTCTATTAAATCATTTTTAAGTTCACGAGATAAAACGCGCCGGCGGAAAAGTTCTCGCAGGCACGCTCGTGACAAAGTAAATGGAACTTACGCGTTGTTAAATTGGTCTTTAAGTGGAGAGCCTTGTTGCACGGCAATTGCATAGGGTTTCCTGGAAAATTCTTCGCCAACCTGCATAAATTCGCAGTTCGTCATGGCAAGGTATTTGATGTCGGAAGCATCGCCGATGAAGGCGAACTCGGTCGGGCCTTCTTTCCGCACCCTAGCCAGTGCCTCGTCCATGTCCTTGGGGAAGCCGGTGTCCTGCATCGTTTGAAATATCTTGGTGTATTTATCGCTTACCGGGTAGTCCCATACCGCCAGTTTCGCTCGCTCGACGTCCGACAGGCTATCGTTCAGGCTCATGTCCTTCCATATCCTGCGGGAAGGTGTGGCTCGCACGGACGCGCGCGAGCCATCAGTTTTATTAAGATAGCGTGGCGGTTAAACCGGTTAAACCCAATGGATACTGTCGTTAATGGAATGTAAGCGATTGAATTTATGAAAATTGATGTTTGTCGGGGGGTCAGTAATTGCTTTTATTTATAAGCCGTTATTAATGTCGTGTTTGGCAGATTTGGTGCTGGCGCAGTTATCAAGTCCTTCGAGTCCTTATGGTGACAATCGAATTGATAAAGTAACTCACCGTAAAATGCTCACGCTCGTTGCGCAAACGCACGCAAACAACATTTGTTAAAAAACGTCTGTCAGCGCTTTAACGTTGACGGGAATAATACGCGCAGAATCGTAATAAAGAGTATCGTCATTAGCAATTGGAAATAAGCACGTGCAATTTGTAAAATATCCATGTATATAGTGACATAATCGACAAAAAGGGATGATAGCATTTAAATGCCATTAAAAGTGCATGAGTTTATTATGGAAATTTATCGCGTAACATGGATTTCATGTTTTCAAGCGGATCGCTTTGATAGGTGATTATCCCTGGAATTATATGGAATTTAATTAGGCAAAATGGGGGGGGGGGGGGCGGCGGCTGCAGCGTATATACGAGCCATTAATAAAGGCTCGGGAAAGGGGATAAAAGGAGGCTTAGTGCGTCGAATGGGCATCGAGCGTATAGAGAGCGAGTGGTTGCGACTGCCAAAACCGAAAGAGGTGTGCCAAATGAAGATGCACGATCCAACTCACTCGTAAAATTTCTTCTCGATGTTGGCCATCCTGTCGAAGTAGTTGTATTCGGAGGAGTTGATAATGGGCGCGTACTGGATCTTGTACTGTTTGCTGAGATCCTCGAGTGACTCAACGGGGGCATCGAGCCTCGAGACCGTAAGAAAGGCGGCGAGATTGGCAGTGTACGAGGCTATGATGATGAAGCCGAAGAGCCACCAGGTGGCGGCGACCAATCGGCCGGAGAGATTCTTGGGGGCCTCGCCGCCCCCCTGGGGCGTAAGGGAGGTCATGCAGAACCAGAGGCACTCCTTGAGGGTGAACTCGCGCTTCTCGTCGTCGTCCTTGTACTTCTCGCGATTGTTCTGGTAGCTGTAGGGCGAGAACTTGTCGAAGACCCACATGAGGAGGCTGGTGAAAAAGTAGGCGCCGAGGATGCAGAGCCAGACGTCGGTCTCGAGGACCGTGAGGAACTTGAATAGCGAGGTCGTCGTCTTGGGCTTCCTGCGAAGGATAGATATGCCGACGAGGTCGTAATAAGGAACCGTGTAGTCGATCACGTTCTCCCGCTCGGCCGTCACCGCTAGAGCCCCAAGGCCAACGTCCGCCTTCTTCTCCTTCAGCTCCTTCACCATGCCGTTCCAGTTCGCGTCCTCGTCCATGTTTCCGTACATCTTGTCCTCCACTTCCCGTATCTCGTACTCGAAGTTCATCTGCTCGCGGATCTCGTCCAGCAGATCGATGCAATAGCCGCTCCATTTGTTACTCGTGTTATCATACATAATGAATGGCGGCTTTATCACCGTCACAACTCGATAGCTCGTCACCGCTGTATGGTTGCTGGCCCTTAACTCGTCCACTATCTTTTTTTTATTTTTTTTTTTTTTTTTTTTTTTTTTTTTTTTTTTTTTTTTTTTTTTTTTTTTTTTAAAAAACCAATTTTTTTTTTTTTTTTTTTTTTTTTTTTTTTTTTTTCAACGTTCGCTCGTATTATTTACGAATAAACAGATACGAAATTCGATTATTCCGTTTTAGGCGCAATTTTTGGGTTTGCAAACTTTTACAAGCTCATCTTTCTATTGGAGCTGTGATAATATTCGGCCACAATCATATTGCCGATATCTTCTCAAATATGTCGTTACACATTTTGTTTGCCTCGCCAAATGAAAAACCTTATGAATAAAATATAATATCTCCCATTGATTTAAATGCCCCCAAGAGTAGTTATATAAGTATCGATCGATCTGTTGTTTGGATCGGCGAGACGTACGGTTGGGCATTGATGATAATAATTGTGACGTGTTTTTAAATATCGTTACGAGCAAAGTTTTGAGTTAATACAATTTTTCAAAAGGTCTTTCATACTTTTTGACATTGTTTATTTACTCAGACTTTTTACTTTTATAAGAGCATTGCTATAATGCGCGTGTAGGTGAGCCGTGCTTACAAAAGTGCATAATTCTTCAATTACAGATTGTAATAGAATTTCATAATGTTTTACGTGGCAAATAATATTTTAATCGAGCGTGCATAATATATATTTTTAATGTCGATTAGCCTTTTTATAAATTCACGCCGTAACATTCATTTGTACATCCGCGAGCTATTAATTATCAAATGTATTGTTAAATAATAAGATTGGACTGAGCTGAAATATCGACAATGTGTTAAAATGTATTTAATATCAGCAATTTCATATGTTTTACATAACAGCAATGATACTCTAATGCAATTTACTTTATAATATTGCGTCAAGCAATCAAGAAATACAGAATAAAAAATACGTTTAAGAACAATAGTTTTCGCTTTATTCAATAGCGTTACGTGTAATTCTCTTTTTTTCTTCTTTTTTTTTCTTTTAACGACTATGCGATCGAACGATAAAGGATTATTTTACATTAAAAAGCAAAGTAGATTTTACGATTTAAGAGTGCGTGATATTTATAAAGACAAAAACAAAGAAAAAAAAAAAAGAAAAAGAAAAAAAAAAGCATTAATCTCAATATCCGTTATTTAATTTTAATTGAGATTTAATATTAATGAAAATATTATTACGTTGCAGTACTTTGAGCTTCAAAAGAAGCTCATCATTCGTTCATAAAGCATGGCCGAGGAGTCATCTTTGCAAATGATATGTATAGACGTGTGTGTGTGTGTGTGTGTGTGTGTGTGTGTGTGTGTGTGTGGGCGTGCGCGGGCGTCGACGTTTTATGCGAAAGCATGGTAGTGCAGAATAATAAAGAATGATCGATGGGTAATAATTATTGTCGGCCGACGAATTGAATATTAACCAACCGGCCTGCCGGGGATACGATAAACCCACTATATCAACCGAAATCGCCTTGTTGTTACTCCGCGATGATTATCGAGTTGACGAGGGCAAATTCATTGCAAGCTCGTGGGAGCCGGGGGAGAATGACGATGAAAAGGAGGATGAGAGATGAGGGAGGGGGGCGGGGAGGGGGAGAGGGGGAGGGGGAGGGGGGAGCAAATGATGGTAGCGGGAAAAAGAATTGTCGAGGCTCGGCATGCTAATACGGCGACGGGGCCTTTAAATCCTCCAACAATTCGAATATTCTCTTCGCTTTAAAGCTTCGTTCCGACATTGGCGATTACAAGGGCTGCGTGCTCCCTCGCGATGATAATACCTGGAAATTAAAACGAGCTTGTGCCCCCCTTATACCTTGTCGTGACGGATTGTGCATCGTCTTCGGATCGGTGGCCTTGTTATGAATAGGAGTGGAAACATTTTAATTTCGCCGAACCGCCATGTGCTTTTAAATTAACGCCGCGACGTGACTTTTAATTCGACTTTATTCCGTAGGCGCATTAAGCATCGTCTAGCAATTATTGAAATTAGAGAAAAAGACGAGTGCGGATGAGAATTTGTAAATGTTAATAGATCGTATTATTTCGGTATTGTTGATAATCTGCAAATCGTTAGTCCACACTGTAAACTGCTTTAGTCCACTCTATCGAAAGCGATACTCGTAGTTTTGCATTGAGCTGCCATTTCAAGCTCGATCGAATGGACGAATTAGAGATATCTCTTTCTATATTGGTGTGAATAATGGCACTAAAGGCTTAGATTAGTTAGGCTTTGACATAAAAAAAAAAAAAAAAAAAAAAAAAAAATAAAAAAAAAAATATTAATAATAATAAATAGAATAACATGTTGACGTTGTTGAGTTTCAGCGATTGTAAGTGAGAATCGCGGTAAAGATGCTGCGGAGATACGTGCGTGCGTGCGTGCATGCGTGCGTGCGTGCATACAGAGTCAATCGATGCTCAAAGACACTAACGTTTAAGGGCGAATCAATGCCCGCCTGCCATTTGGCCACCGTCTCCTCGTTGATGAGTTTCGAGTCCCTTATCTGCATGACCACGGCATTGGCCTCGAACTTGGCCCGACTCTCGCCGTTCTTGCCCCAGATGAAGCCGGCGTAGGTCGGAATGTAGACGCTGCCACCGGTCACCTGCTGCAGCCTTCGGTGCAAGTTGACGTTTCGCATGGCGACACTCGTGTTCTCGTTGTAGGTGTCGCAGTCCGCGTAACGAGGCCGCTTCCACTCGCCGGCGTCGAGGGCCGATTTCATCGCGAGGACGCCGGCCTTGGTGAGGTCGTAGTAGAAGGCCGAGGTGATCAAGGGTTTTGGTAAGGAACCTGCTCGAATCAATTTCATTCTAGTCGCGGCTCCTCGCAATATTAATTAAATAGGTTACGTCAAGTAAATATCTCTTTTGTTTTTACGAGGCAAAGAGCCAGATTGAACGAATGACGTATATGTGTCACTCAAGGTGACACGCGTAAATATGAAGAACGTAAGGATGAAAATGTGCAATTGTGCGAGGACCGAGCGCAAGATTCTCTAAATTCGCTTTGAAATTATAATTGGTAATTGGATTTTTAACGTCATTACTTTGTGCGAATGACATTATGCGGCATCACATTATCGATACGCGCCAATGCGAGGGATCGAATGTAAAATTCAAGCTTACGTGGCAATCCTCCGCCCCGTAAATAATATCCAAAATAATATCGACGGAATGTAAAATGACGTCATTACGGGGGTAAATTACGTGAGTTTGGCGTAACCTTTGCTTGTCAGCTCGTTCAGTTGCTGCTGGTTCTGTGAAATCTGGGGCTTGAATAGCATAACCGAGACGTTTCTGCAGTCGGCGCAATGGACGGTGAAATCCTCGCTTAGTGTAATGGCGAACCAGCCGTACTTGTGCCCGGTGAAGTTTAAGTCGTTGGCGGCCTGCAGAGCCGCGGAAATGGTCGACTCGCTGCCAAGCACAAAGAAATTGACGATGTCGAGATCGCGCAGCATGGAGATCTGACGCTGAAGAGGAGCGCCGGGCTCCTTCGTATGGACGATAACATGTCGGGTGGGTACGTTTAAGAGGAGACTCTTGTACTTGTGATCCATTATGAAATTGTCGTCGAAGAGGATGGCCGCGTTGCTGATGTTGAACGTCAAACATTGCTGGCGAATGACTTCGGGCATCAGGTCGGTCGGATTCATAACTTGCACGAGGTACTCTGCAGCAATTTACCGACGGCTAATTTCACTGCGATTGTTCCTTTATTGATTTTCATGCATTTGGGGCGTACGGTACTCTGCATTTAATAAGCACATTCTCGACGATCAAATGCTATTGGACAGTTGGGATGGAAGGCGAAAGGAGGGGCGAAACCCGTGGACTAAGTTATTTATATATAATTGATGTTATTTAATACGTCGGGTCGAATGAAAATCATTACGAGCTTTAATTTACTTGGGAAAAAGTTCATTATTGCCCGATAGTTTGTGAGACTGAGCGTAGACGCTTTGTCACTAATTCCCGTAGTCGATCGTTCCAACGTCAACTACAATATTCCTTCGTTAGCTGTATTATTAGTTTATTACAATTATTCGGCATAGAGCCAATTAAAGCCACTCGTATCGATCATTCGATCATTTAAAAATGTATTGCACATCGATGTAAATATCTCGCGTAAATAACTCTAATTCTAAACTGTCGTACGTCTTTAATGGCGAGGAACCTAACACATTTACTAATGTAATTATCACGCGGTGATAATAACTCGAAGTAAAGATGTAGTGTACGCGAGAATTATTAATTGATAGCTTGTCAAGATGCTTATTAAAAACAAACCATTAGGGACAATTATTCCGGGGTGCATTCTTTACGAAAAAAAAAAAACAAAAAAAAAAAAAAAAAAAAAAAAATTTTCAGT